TCCACCACCAAATCGGATGGTGGGGTCAATCAATAGGCTGCATACTTTTTCTAGCTCTACAGGCAAGCATGTCTCTAACTTTGAGGCAACTGGGATTACCTCAGTGACTCAAATGTGAAGCAGTCAATACTGCTGACTCAGGACTAGAGATCTATGTGGGTTACTCACAGGTAAAGGACTCTTCAATTTTCAACTAGACGGAAGCAGAACATCGAACATGGTACAGAAACACTACAACCACTCTCTATGTTGAACTATGGGAGCAGTCTTGACCGATTCATTTCACGAAGTGGGTGGATTCAGATGAAGAATTAGTTTGCCTCGTTTTTCCATGTCTGACACAAAAATCTGTAGAATTCATTTAGTGACCATAATCCAGAAAGAGATGCGACTACGGAATATTTTCGTTTTCCCTTATTTTACTACTTACCAGACTTTGACTAGCATAGAATCAAATCACGAACTTGTGGACACTATTTCTTAAGTTAGTATTCGCAAAATGTGTACGTGATAGAGAACTGTCAGTTTAAGAGATAAGAGTCAGAACACTGGTGTATGTTCCTTTAGTAGGCCATGTACGATACCTATGTATGAAGGCGTTTGATCATCATCATTATGAAGATCAATACAGGACCAAGCATTACTGCGTGGCGGAACAAGTGGTTACTTCTCAATTTCAGCACATCCAGTAACGAGCCAATAAAGTGGAATATAAAGAAAGAAGGGAAAGTTAATCAAAAAAAAGTTAAAGAATAATGAAAAGGAAGGTAGAGAGTGAGAAAGTGATGAGGTTAAGTATAGCGGTTAAGATGGGGGTAATGCGTATGCATCTGAGTATGACACAACTTGGTTACTCAGGCTGAAGCAGATCGAGTGGAGCTTGAACGAAATAAGCTGAATACTAAAGTCATTTACTCAAACCTCCACACTTCATTGTTAGAAATGATCTGTGATCCTAGAAAAAAGAACGTGACCGTAACCATTCTATGGTTGTTGATTGTAATTAACGTCTTTTTGTCAATTAAGTACAGACGGGTCTCTCCGAAGTCCATCTTGTCTGACGTTATTGATCACTCAGATTTATCAGTATTCAATCGCTGGACTTTAATACCATGCACATCTCGGATAGATCCATCTACGATCCTTAGACAAAATGTGACCTAAACATTATTTCTTAATAAAGTGTACAATTCATTTTTTTCCCATGACAATAGTTTTCTCCTACATACTAAAAACCGGTTTTTTTATCGATGGGTTTTCTATTTTTCAGTTAGACAACATCAGCTGACTGACTGATTGACTGTACAGTTAGTAATTTTGAAGACAGACTGCATACTTCTCGAGGGATGGGCTTGTTAATCGTATGAGTAAACTCAATACCAATTGTACCGGACGACATTGACAGACAAATGATGAGAGGTGGTGTGTGTGTGTAGTGTAAAATTGAACCATTCAAGTCACTGTTGCTACATGAGGAATAATATTGTCTCATTTTGCCAGTGGTTTCACTACGATTGAATATCAATAATATGACCTGCTATGTAAGAGAGTTGGGGGAGGGGAGGAGGAGGAGGAGGAAAGAATGAAACATTTCAGATTTAACGTGTTTGTATGTGAGGCAGGATAATTTCAACATCTAATACATATGCAAAATGCCAATCGACTGGAGCGGGTGAAGCCAGCTAGCTAGCTGTGTACGCATTTTGACACAACATATAATCAACATCATCGTCATTCGGATGTTCGTGAAGACGAGGTTGGACGATTGATACAGTTCAACTGTCATCTATCACCTTTGCATTTCCTGGGGGGAGGGGGGAATTAGTGTGATGTTGTGCGGTGTGAAAATGGTGTAATATGTAATCTGATAGTGATGTTGACAGGCAGGAGTGGGGGTGTTGTAGTGAAATGAAAACAGGGTGGTGTAATGTGTTAAGTCAGCCGAAAATTGGGAATTCAGTTGAAATGTGGATCTCGTCATATAAATGTGACTGTCGTATTACTCTTGAAAAATATGTAATGATTATCCTGATTACTTACTTACTTGAACAGACAGACTACTTGGTACACTGAAGAAGGTCAAGTGTTTGTCATCCATTTCGAGACGAGATGAACAGTAGTAGTTGCAGTGTGAACGTGGAATTTGTAATCTGATATTCGTGTTAGGAATGGGTGTAGGTGTGGGTGTGGATGTGGGTGTTGAGGTAGATGGAGGGGTGTAATGACGTGAGTGAATTCTTATAACGAAACATTGGATGGGAGGTGATCATCTCTCTAGGTATCAGTGAAATATCATCATTTCAATTACAACACTGGTTCTCTCTGACTAATAACGATACATATATTTGATGTGAAACTTACCTTCATGTTTCAACTTTATACAATCGACATTGTTATTTGCTATTCAAAGGGCCAATGCATGAGATGCTTGTTGACTATGTAGATTGAGCGATCTTTTAAGGTGGGTAATTCATTTATTGTACCGACCAATTGTACTATTCAAGACATTTGCTCCCTTGAGATGCAGGGGATTTGGAAGGTGTTCATAGAATCTGAGGTATAGCCTCACGTTTCTCCTCTCAATATAACTAACATCGAGGGTAGATGCTAACTTGAACATAAACCATGTATAAGTTGGATTGATAACATTTTTTAACCATCATTATCCTCCTCAGTCTATGAGGAAATTCGTATGAACACACATGAGAAGCGAAATAATAATGACAACATGAGTGGAAAGGAGTTCACAGCCTCCATTATGTTGTTACTCTATGAGGAAGGTACATACAATTCTAAACAAGGCTGCAATTATGGTGGTATTCAAATCTACAAACTCACTCAGAGATAAGCTCTGTCGACTGACTTGACGATCCGATAGAACCAATCAGGCAAAATAATCTAATCTATCAAATTTCATGTGGTCTCTTTCAGGTCAATCAACCACATAGGTTAGTTACACTAGCTGATCGGGGTCAGTTAGAATAGCGGAACTTAGGAATTCACCTAAGTGTAGAATGGTAGACTTGATTAAGATGAGTAATCTAGAAAACCACACGGCTATTGCAGTGGATGCATTAACATACACCAGCATACAATAGGATGGGTGAGATGAAACCATTGTACTCGAGTCCAATATAATTAGGTGGAGAGAGAGAGAGAGAGAGATTGATTACTAAATCTTTGTTCATCGAACCAGCCAACAGCCAGCCAACCATGTAATATAGATGACGCAACACCTATACCAAAGATATAGAAAATTTTACTACCAACAGAAACAAAGAATAACAGCTGACATGACTATACAAATCAGATATCCAAAGTGGAGTATGATTACACACATTGATATGATAATGAGTAATAATAATTTATGCTGGATACACGTTGTCATCAAGTGAATAGTAAGTAATACTGTAACGGTCACTGTGTGTTATGAATCATCAAATTGACAAATCTAATGTGAAATTCAATTCTACCACAGGGCTGAAGTTCTACACTTAAACTATCACACTTCCACATATCTCAGTCTCAGTATGTGCCAGTAACTGACTATTTCTATATAAAACTTTGAATGTTATTTCAACACTAATTTTTGTCACCTGTCTCTTTAATATATTTAGCTAAGGAAGAAGAGAATCATCTCCCAACTGTGTTTATTAAAGTTTCTTGAAGCCATTTAAGTACATGTTGTGCCACCGTGAAGTGCATGGCTCGATTCCTCCTCCTTATGTATCCCTCACCTCTTATACACACACACATACACACGTAAATAGGTAAAAAGAAATGGGATATGACGTAATCTTTGATAGGGTGTTTCAACTTGTAGTGAAGTGTGTGTTTTATGTTCTCTACAATAATAAGATTAGCTGGATAATATGTTTTCTTAATATCTGATGTTAGCCTACATCTAACAAATTATACTATTCACCTACTCCCCTCCCCCAACACCACCTACATGATAGAATGATATGGACAATTATCTTAAGAACTGTGTAGTCAGTCGGCTTTCGTGTTCACTGACTTCTACAACAGCTTATTTTAACTTGACTGGCTGGCTATCAAACTCTGTCGAAGTGTTTCAGTCAATAATTCATTATCTTCATTCTAAATTTTAATCTTCTGTTGCCTTAATCGTCCCATTCATCCTCACATCCTTCACTTCACCATCACACTGACTTCACAAGTAAGTCTGTGTGATCAGATCTGTTTAAAATGTATTACACAATTACCAATCATCGTCATACATTTCCATATGTTTCATATTTATGTAGTGTTGCAAATTGTGTCGAAGTTTCCACCGAATATACCACAAAACTCTGTATCATTTCCCTTCTCCATCTCTTCCTTTACTTCATCTATGAATTACTTTATACTACACATAGATATATCTACCATCCATTATATTGGATAAAAAATATTCTACTTATCTCCTTTTCTCTATTTAATTAGAAAGAAGTCAAGTGTATATCAGACAGATAACCAGTATGTTGCATACAAAAATCAGAATTGATTACCATTTATGCACAATATCTTTATTAACATACAGTACAGAATGAAAATGAGGATTCGTTGAATGACTTTTTTAAACTATTTATCAACTATATTCTTGAGTTAATTCATTTCATGCGCCAATATACAAGGCGATTTTTAAAACAAAGTAGCTGTTGAACATTGAATAGTAGTAATAATCTTCATTCATTTCAACTTCATCTTTGACTTTCTTCACATTTCATTTGATCACACTTTTTATTTTGTTTATCTTTTGTCTTTTCTTTCTTTTTCAATTTATTTTCAATGATAAGATAATGTAATGTTAAATACACTTGATCATTGAACAAAATGCTCCTTTACTTATTCACATTTAAAATGAGATGCATTTCTTCTCGATCATATAACAAACAAAGATAATAATTGTGCGAATGTTAATGAAGAGTTTATGGAATAAAAATGTCACTAGAAAAAAAGATAATAGTCAGTAGATGTGTATTGTAATGCTTTACTGTCTAATCATCCGGTGGACATGCTCTAGTCATAGATCGAATAGGTGGTCGATTCCATGAATGAGGTGATTGTGAGAAATCATTATTACTCTGAGCTTGATATCGTTCATCATGTGATGAATCCCAATAACCATCTGCATTTCTTTGTCTACGCTCTCTATCTCTATCTCGACGTCGACGTCGACCACCAGCACTAGCTTGTAATGCTAAGGTTTTTGCTTCAAACTCTTGTCTCACTCGAGCTAATTCTTCTTCACGTTGTTTTGCTTGACGAGCAGATCTACTCTGATAGACTGAAAAGTTAAATAAAGTAGGCAAAAATGTAAATCAAGTTATCAAGGTATAAAATGTCGGATGCTTTGCTTCACACTCACATGTCTGTCAACTCAAATGAAAGCCATTACAATAATGCATCTTACATATTCACAGCTTCACATCCAAACATACATCATCATACACTTTTGAGTTACAGTTTCAGTTACAATAGGAACAAAAAGAGGCGGAAATCCCACTCAATGTGGTTGACGTTTCATAACAGTTATCAGGGGACCCTCTATGTCTTGGTTGCATTGTGTTGTCTGAGCTGGGTTGTTTAATCGTGAATTATACCATTTGCCTTCCACTTTGTTCAGCTATTTTCCATCCCATTGGGAAGTTAATCGGTGGTCTATATCTAACACTCTTCGGCAGAACATGCTGACGTAGGCACTCATGGAGAAAGAATAGTTATTCTTTTGTGGAATCTTGCCTTTTGGAGAAGTCATCCCATCTCCGAACAACGTGAAGCGTGTCACACCCGTATGATTTTGAAATAATGGAGAATATTTGTAGCTCAGCAGGATGGTCTTGGTTGCATTGTGTTCTCTGAGCTGGGTTGTTTAAGACTCTCTCTCTCTCTCTCTATGTGCTGTTCAAAAGTTACACTCCATGACAATACAACACACATGCTATTATCATGAAGGTAACCACAACACTGCCCATTCTAGCAGTACATGAATTCGGTCGGAGTAATTGTAAGATATGCAGCATGATGAATTACGAAGTGTATAGACTTACCGAAATCCCTACTGATTATTCAAATACACGCTATACAGACAAATTAATCAATGAATCTATGTGTTAACTGAACTTCACGTCTACTTCACAGTGGAATGAGTCACTTCAATCCACTTGATCATTCTCATATACTGTAGATGCAGAACACTGAGATGGTAGAAGTACATGTTTTTGTCTACTGGGTAAAGAATTACGTGGATTGCCTGAGTACAATACGTGTATTTCACGTCTGCATCGGAATTTAGGAGTTTCAGTTAGTACCAGGTACTGGAAATTCTTATTGACTGTTGTGGAACAATTTGATCGGCCTACATTCCAATGCTTGTTCACCATTCATCAATTATATTGTATATCAAAGCTTCGGTTGAGAAGCAATATGGTAAACGAATAAAACATCCAGTTGGCGAGCCCCAGATGGGACGGATGAAATGCATATCCTTGATTCCACTGTTCGCCACCGTCTCCCATGAATATATTTTAACTCAAATACAGGCAATATCGAGGTATCCGTGCAGGAGACCATACGCCAAAGTAGACCGATCAATTCTGTCCACTCAACGACCAGATAATTCAAACAACATTAAAACAATACCCGTAGCACAATAAGTGGCTCTTGTCACTCGATAGTCTAGTGGATAACCCTCTACCTTCTGAAGCAATCACTTCCGTGTTAGATTCTTAGTGAGAGCAACATCGCTCACTACGAGGTAGGTACATCCAGCTGAACAGTCCCAAATGAGACAAGACGAGACGAGACGAGACGAGTGTCCTGGATTCCACTGCCTAACAGAGAATTCAGATTCTTTCCAATTGTCTTATATATATAATAAAGTGATATCACAAAGTCACTTGTAGGAGGATTCTTAACAATTTTCAAATTAGAGTAACACATTGAAACCTACAAATTCATTCAGAGAGAAACTTTACAGGCTAAAACATCCCTCCTATAGAGATAATAAACCAAAACAACAGTTGAATCTAGTAAATACCATTTAATGAGTGTGTGATCAAACTAGCTGATCTGGGTTAGGTAGAATAGCACAGAGAGAAAACTTAGACAAACATACAGTGATTGATATAGACCCGAATGAGATAAACAACTTGAAGAAATGAATACTGAGCTATTTCTCTGCATCCACTGACACAATCTCACAATACGGGGTGGTCAGTGAGTGGGGGTGTGGTTGGCAATTCTATAATCCAATGCAGCTAAGTGAAGCAACAGGTTGATCACAGAATCATTGAATCCATTGAACTTACTTACACCTGACACATTTAACACGAATCATTCACCACATACTATGAGATATATCTGGACAATTTTACTACCATTAAAATAAAGGGATGAAGAATTGTACAACTATATAAAGCATGATCACTTTGACATGAATATGAAGAATAAATTCTACCTTGATGTAACATCAAGTAAATAATAGTCGTCTCCTATTCTACCTTATTCTATATCAAATAAACCACAGAGCGCTTACACTTCATTCATACTTTCATTAACGGATATAAATAAAGTGAAAATTGAGAATCTTACCAGCAAAGTGCCTTGAACACACCAAATAGAATTTTCAATAAGGTTGCAATAAAAGTTACATATGAACCAACACAACCACTTACAAACACGTTTTATACAGATAAACAGGCCTATTGATCCAATTACCAGGTGAAAAACATAAGTTAAACATAAGTCGACAAATTTTATTTAAGCTAACTGAACACAAAAATTGGCTAAATCAAAGCAGTTAGTTTAGTTTATAGCAAGATAAACAATTTGAAGATGAACTTGGTTACAGTTACATATCCAATTAAACACAACCACACAATACGATGGAAGTGAATGACAATCTTTAGAGGTATGTGAGAGAGGAAGAGATTGATAACCGACCGAATCTTTGTGTATCGAATCAGTATGAACTACAAGCAAGAGGAATAATTCAGCATTTGTTCCACATATATATATATATATAGGAAATTCTAGTACCTATATAACAAAGCAAGAGAGAGAACCATGTCTGAAAGTTGTGTAGTTAGTTACCATATAAACCAACTAATAGGGAATTTCATTGGTTCCGTCTAACTGAAGCCATTTTCATCAACAACCTTGAAGGTAATGTGTATTCTAAAGGACAAACTGACCAATTCAATCCAATCATCACTTGTCCCATCCACATCAGATTATCGAAAATAAGACGAGGATTTCACTACAAATCTCTTTTGTTATCCTCTTCTCTCCTCCACTTCAAAACTCTCATTTTTACAATGTGAAGACTCATTTTGTCTATTCACTTAGTATAAATACTCTGGTTTTTAATAGGTAATCCATGATTTCAGTTTTCCAGTGAACTGTCACTATTGCTCACATCTCTTACTGTACAACAGGTGATTCTCATCACTCATAAACCTGTTGAGCAACACTCTGGCATTTCGAGCGATGTGTGTGTCACACACTGGAGTCTCAATCGGTTGCATGTAAATCTGGCTGACAACTTCTAAACATGACGAATCTATTGTCCTGATGTTCACTGCCAGCCATTACAAAGCAAATCTTCCAAGAATAGATTCGCATCCACCCTGTAAACAGTCAGTCCATCAGGACGTAAACCGCAAACTATCAGTTCATGACGTAATTTGTCTTCGGTGTATACATTTTGACTGTAGGTTGAAAACCACTCAGAATTACTCTGTTTAATTCTTCGTTCATATGAAATCTGCAAATCACCAGGAACCTGTATGACTGGCTATATCACAAATGTAATGTAATAACTACACAAAGTCCACATAGATATATAAAAGCTGATTTGACCTACCTTGTGGGCCATCAGTCCCCTCCACCTGATGAATCCCCAGATCTTTTAACGGTGGTGGAGCTACTGATGCCACGGCTGCTGCTGCTGCAATTGTAGGCGGAGGAATTCGTGTTGGCTGATTTGTGTCTGATGAATGATTATTACTGTTTTGATGATAACGATGATGATGTTGATGATGATGATGACCTGGGAATAGAGCAGCATTGATAGTGGCTGCAACACCACTTGCTAAACCCAATCCTAAGCCCATTGTTAAACCAGGTGCTCCACTAGATAGACTACCTGCTGTATAACCATTCGTATCACCTGCATTCCCTGAACCATATCTTTTATTCTCTCCAGAAAATAATGATGGATGAACTGAATGAGATTTTGGTGTTAATCCAGCAGCAACAGCAGCAATAGCTGCTGCATGTGCAGCATTCACTTGTAATCGACCACTACGATGATAATGTGGATGTGAAATATCATTTTCATCATCTGAATTATGCGTTGTACTATGACCACCATGATCATGATCCTCTTTCAGTTTTCTTCCACCTAAACTTGTAGTATTGTATTCACTGCCAACACTACCAGCATAATGAACACCTGTCAATCCAAGTTCATTTTCAATCGGTCCACCACTTTCTGTTAACCAACCAGCAGCTCTAGCCCCCGTCAATTCACTAATTTCTTGACTAGTAAAACCAGCACTTAAAGCAGACTGAAATTATAAGCAAAATTATAACGTACAATTTTTAAACATAATACTCAATTTATGATAATTTACATGGTTATGGTGAGTAGAGGAATGCAGAAGGCGCGTTTTGTCCCAATTGGGACTGACTCATCAGCTCGATGTATGCCTGCACACAAGTGAGTGATGTTGTCTCCACTCACTAAACTCGAACCTCTTACTCATCGCTTCAAACGCCACTGATACACATAGACACGATGCTCGCCTCTTGGAGAACGCTTTAGCGTTTCAAGTCGTGCGTATGAGGTTCAAGTTCCAGTCAGAACAACGTCACTCACCAGAATCCTCATTCATTATCATTTATAAGGGTTAAAGGGGAATAGTTGAAAAAGGAGTACGTATTCGACTATGGTGCACAGTAGAAGCACTAACAGCTCACCTATTCAAACCTGATCTCTGTGTACAAAAGAAGCATCTTCAATTTCTTATCTTACCCGTCGTCTGATCACTTTCACAACTCTTTATCGATTTCATTATAATTACTTAGTCTATTATTATCATCTTCATTCATTATGACTCTTGGTCTCGTTCTTCATCTTCTTTATATCTCTATATCATTGGAAAAGAGAAATTTCTTCATTGAATTATCGATTTATTTTTCCTCCTTATGATTTGTTTGGGACATGTTTTTTCGCTTCATAAATCTTCCCTTTCATCAGTAAGGGGTATACAACGACGAGGAAACTGTTACATTGCCAAAACCTTCAATTGATAATATAACATCTTAATAACCACAACTGTTTGTTACCACTCGATTAGTTTGTTTACTATTAGTTTACTATATAATTGTATCTCAAGTAAACTATTTCAATCATCGTATCTTTCAATTAACAATAACATTTGTGTAACCAGTAGACTAATTGATACTTCTCACCTTAGTGACAACACTAAGTCCTGGATGACCTGGTGTCATTGGAACAAGTGGACGATCAGAATCAATTTCATGTGCTGCAGGCAATGGAGCAGAAAATGAACCAAGTAGACGTTCAGCCTTACTAACTATCAATGGTGGATGCGTTGCAGCCCAATATCCTTCTAAGAAATGGCGTAGTGCTTCTGTTGCTGCGGGTAAAGTATTCTGATCTATAACAAAGTCAAATGATTCCTAAATTTCAAAACAAAATAACACAACAGTGAAAACAACACAACAACTAATAATAATAATAATAATTTGGTATTGTAGTCATTGATGAGAAAAGGTATCGTATTTCATTTACTGAGAAGCCAAATAACCGGATGATACAATAATTATAGTCAAGAAAACGAAGTCTTACTACATGACCGATGAATGATAAACAGTCTAGCTAGCAAGTTCTAAGCGCTGGTCAACAAGTCGCTTATAATCCCTAATTCGGCAGCCACCACTTATGTTCCTTATGAAAGATCACAGGGAAGCAGTAGGTAGATTCTGCTCTGTCAAGAAACTGAAGTCAAGCTCTGCACATACGTTTTTCTCATCACATTACTACATACATATATATATACGGCTATTCTGAGCACAGTGCATCCATGAGTCTCCCGTAAGTCTCTACCACGAAAAAGGATGAGTAACCTGTATATACTGGTCACACAAACTTTATTCATCAACATATAACACTGTTTCAAACTTTTCTTATGAAGGGGGAATGTTGAAGATGACTTGTAAACCCACACATCGGAGAAGATGACAGTAACACCACCACTAGACTTACTTAACTCAGGCTAAACTTACAGCCTTCCATGTCAAGTTTTCTGTCCAACTTATGATACAAGAAATGAAGGAATACGTTCCATCCAACCTCTTGTAAGACAAAGGTATGTGTTAGCTTTTCAACTTATGAAAGGTCTATATCAAAATACAATAATTCCCACACAAATTAACTTCATCCTGTACTATATTTTGCAAACAGTTCATTAATGAAAACAAATAATAATAAGTTGGTGTAGTTTCTCGTATTATACCGTTACTGATTGGACCGGATTGATCGATCTCTATTGGCACAAGACGCAATCGACCTTCTCAGTGTATGCCCAATCCATCTCTACTTTCTTGTGCATATTTGTTTGGCCATAGGTTATTGGTTGGTTCGTTGCCAGCCAGCCTGTCAGAGTCCCTTGTTGCTTATTCTTTCTGGTCGTCTATCTGATCCTCAGTATCTAGCCAGCATAGGCGGCAGCTGTTGATGAATGTGTGTAGTTTGTTGGAAGTGCTTTTAGTGAAACGCCAAGTTTCTGAACCATCACATAGAAGCACTGACTTGACTGGCATTGGTGTTGAAAATCTAGATGTTGTTGAGCACAAAGGACAAGATCCTTGAAATGCGCATACTGGTTTCCACTGATAGCCACTAGCGATGATAAATAATATTTTGGCTTATGATGTGGCAGTATTGATAAAAATGTTTCAACTGTAGTATGAAATTTACAAGGTAGGGGTGTGTGTGTGTGTGGTTCAACCGAATTTATGATAGTGTTCCTCTACTTCACCTGAATTAGTGGGAACGTACTGTGTTTCGCAATAACAGCCTCTCAGATGGGTATGATCTATAAATTACTATCAGTTTCATTTCGTTCATTATGAAATACCATTGTATGCTTGGAATATTAACAGAGTCTGTTTTGATGTAAATTCTTTCTTTGAGTTAATCACCTTGTTGAGCATTATCATTCATTGGAGAAAGATGTTGAACACAATCTGTTATCTATAGTCATATTTTCAGATACCTAAACAACTTTTGACACTTGGTTTATGTATTCATAGATATTTCCCTCTGTGATATTGGGAGTAGAATTCTCCACATATTTATCTGGAATAGATGTGTAGTTACCTCAGTTCAGTCTGCTTGATATTGATTACCAATCGATTCATATGCCATTTTGTAAATTGGTTGATCATTAGAGGGCAACTAACTTCATGTTCTCTAATCTTAATTACTGAAAGGAACTCCATCGATCATTTTTTGCAATGAATCCATTGCTGTTAGAGATGTTAGTTTGGTGAAGTAAATCCGCAAGAAGCCTTGAAACGAGGTTTCGAGCATTTTTTTTACTCGTTAGCAGAGTGTATCTGCAACCTGACGCGAATGATGCTTGAATCTCAGGTGTGACATCAGTTATGCTGAGTTTGTAGATACATCTTGCTGGGAAAGCGATTAACCTCGAAATTTAGGTCCAAGCCTTCCTACCCACTGCCCCAATCCAACTAACACCTCATTTCCCCCGAAATATTCATACGATCAGGTTTGGACGGTATCACCGATGGATAGTGGCTAGTAGTGGAATTCACAATGTGCGTTTCGTCGCCTTTAGGACTCGTCGACTGGACGTACTTGCTCCCAGTGGGTGATGTTGTTCCTACTAAGACTCGAATTCGAGACCGATAAGTTTGATCGAATCAAAGCTGTGGAGTTTGAAGTGGCTGGTTGTGGGTTTGAGACAGTGGGAACAGCATCATCCACGGGGAGGTGGATGCATCCAGCCGACGAGTTCTAAATAGGGCAAAATGTGAGCCGTAGATTCTACTGCCAGCCACTATCCCTCTGTTTTAACTTTTCTATGTGTTTATAAACTTTTCTGATATTAATATCGAATAATTACTTTTTAAGCAAGTTGTTCAAAGCATACTACTTAAATATAAGTAAGTATATCATTTGACTATGTGAGTGAGATAGCGGTAGTTTGGCATACTAGTATTTATACTGGATGATGATTGAAGGCGAAATGAGAATTTGAATGGAGGCCGGATTCGAACCAGCAGCCACCGGGTTTCCGATCTGATGCTCTGCCACGTACCTCGTAGATCAATTGGTAGAGCATCAGGCCAGCAACTCAGTGATCACCAGTTCAAATCCGTCCTCTGTCCGAATTCTCATTTCGCCGTCGATCATCATCATCCAGTATAAGTGAGATAATATGATAAATTCACAATGACTGACGAACTTACTGGTGAACATTGTAATAACTTTTCAGCAGCCGCTGTCTGTACACCAGCATTTTTCTTTTGCAGTTTACCACGATTTTTAATTAAACGATTTAACACACGTATACTAGAAATTTTTATGTAGATTACAATAGGCGCTAGACATGTTTTTGTAATTTGATTTGGATGATTGATTGTATCACAGTCGAGTAGAAGGAGTTGCATTTTACTCCCCAAATGGAATATTCTTTCCAAGTCTTGTTGAACTTCAACTTGAAAGAAGAAAACAACAACAAGAGAAGTGATATATGGAAAGGCAGGGGGCAGGGATAACTGAAGATGAAAGAAAGTGTAGGTAGCGATGGGATTGAGATAGGCAACCTGGTGTGCTGGTTAGTCGTCAAGCAGTCATGTATACATATACACCTATATTAGATAGTTTGTTTTGCTAAATTCTTGTGTCAACAAGATGAGCTATTTGAAGGACAGTCAGTCAAACACTGTCTAGTGTATTCACTACTGTGTCATCTGAAAGACGTTGTCATTTCAGTCTCTAACAGTTACTTAACACATGACACCTTGCTACAAGATTGTAGGCTGTCAGCCTTACTTAGTGCGTATGGTGGATTAGGATACTACTAGTTACCCAACCTGAAGTAGATAACGGAGCCGGTGACACATTCAACTGTCTGTTAAACTACGAGTATAGTGCACTGCAGTCCACCTTATCCTGTCATACGGCTGTGAGATATGGCGGCTAATATTAGACGATATAAACAGGTTACCTATCGTCAAACACAGATGCCTTCGCAGTAGCGGTTACACATGGTGAATAACGTCATCCTGCAGTAGGAGGAGATGGGTGGGGAAGGAAGATATGTCAGCCAATGAATTTGTGAGTCTGAAGAGGAGTTCAATAAAGTTGTTGGATTATTATTAATTGAGAAAGCATAACTCGTAGTGCTAAAATTCCTATATGTAACAATAATCTGCAAAAAATCACTTTTCTGCATGTCATTTTACACAAGTTTCTTGTGCTCTGCATTTCCATCCAATATTGGATGTATTTTTTTTACCTGGTTTCTCACTAATTCATCTTATCATTTTCACAGTTGTTATATACTACTTATATAGATTCAGTTGATTAACTGTCACTACAAACCACTGCCCAAGGAGCCTTTGACATATGTTGTGCACGACAAGTCACCACCTACTGTGACGAACGACGTTCACTGAAGTAATAATTGAGTTGAATGAAGGCTAAGGATTGCCAGGCCATGAAGTAGCATCACCTGGTGAAGTTTCTCGCTGTTAGTCTTAGTTGCATGTGATTGCTTAGACTGCGTCGTTGGGGTCTCAGAACAACAATAATAACCAATGATTAGCTAATCTTGATGGTATATCTCAAACCGACTACACACGTATAGATGTGTATACACTCTTTTTCATCTTCGAAGTGTTAAGCATTCTCACTAACCGTCACCTTTTACAAATCCCGCTCCGGCATACATCTCAGTCTACTTCGACAGCACCCTCTTTGTATTCGCTACTTTCAGATATGGCAACTCTAAATGATGCGCTTCTATATCTTGTTTTACGTCGATTTATTTGTCTGCATGCGGAGATGAATGATCCTCTTCCTACGGAAGTACAAACTCTTCTACACTATATGATATTTCAAAGTTTATCCCATCTACGCTTAATTCCCAAGGTTGTCACAGGATAATAAAACTGAAAAAAAACATGAACCAGAAGCTTATTTGGTGAACTGTCTTTTAGAGAATAGTAAGGAATCCTTGATAATAAATCTGTGCAGCTGTGACGCATTGATTAAGGAAGTTTTAAATTTCTATCAGTAAGTCACGGGCTCGAACCCCACCCCACCTACCTAGGATAACACAACCAAGTGCTATCATTAGCCTTCATAAAACATATTTGCCTAATTGCCTACTACATGTTTATATAGTTGTGCTGCAGGTAAGTGGCCTACTGAATCTTGGTTTAATCATTCGGTTAGAATATCTCTGCTAGTGTAACTGTTGAAAAAATTGAAACGGTTCATCTCTTAAAGAATCCTGATCAATAGGTGAGTTAATTGTGAAGATGTTCCAGAGACCAGGAAAGACTAGGAGCAGTCTAACAATTCTTGGTATTATTACAGAGATACTATTTCCACTAAGTATTTATGTTCAGATTCAGCATCAAATATCCTCCTCATCGAGCTATGGCTGAAAGGAGAGAAATAAAAAGGCAAGAACAGATATGGAAAATGAAGTTACCATACATCATAATCCAACTTGGAGAAGAGAAAAATTCCTATTCCATTCGACGTATTCGAACTTTATGTACACTTTCATATATGCATGTTGAATTAACTGTATAGTTTTTCCATTAATATAAGGTTTGCAAAATGTAGTAGAGTTGGAATGAAAACTTTGCATTGAAAGGGATTATACTGAAGAGAGGAATCGATATTCACACTCTTACTTCATACATTTACAGGTCCAAATACCTTTCCATTAGCCCAGTAAGCATAGATATTTGTTAAATAGGTGACAGATCATCAGATATTAACACACTGTATTAAGTGAGGAGTGGAAAAGTGTTAACGAACATACGATAATGGATTTCTTCTAGAAGCCTATTCCAACTGTGAGAAGATTTATTGAGGAAGAGATTACCTCTGAGGCTCGTCGTACACCACTCACTTCAACTGATACTTTATGATTGTTCATATCATACACAGACATTTTAGTTAGCTTGGCTTTCCGACGATGAGGGTGCAAGTGCTTATGAAGTGACACCATAAAATATCAGGTTCAGTTTAAATTACCACTTCCAGACTGCTTCTAACCAGAGCATGTTACATCTGGATGTGTAATCTAGATTGGAGCCAGCTCCCAATGTTCTGAAGGTGAAGTAACGTTGTGCCCCTTCAACTTTCAGTTTTTATCGCTTATGCAAAGGATACTGAGAATAAACGGCCAGTTTTCTAAAAGTGGGCGACTGCACACTTTACAGAGTAGAACCTGTGATTAAGTGTTATAGAAGTTATGAATGATGCATCGTAAGAGTTCACGTGACTTCGATCTGATATAAGCCATTTATTCCGAGAATATCAAGTCTTGAAATGTGTGATGCCAAGATTTATCACATACATCGAGAGTCAGGTCAGTGTGTGTTATCATTGCCTATGCTAAACCAACCACATTTGTCATGATTGAATTCAAGGTAGGATTCTGCACATCATGAGATATAAGTTTACCTAACTCATATTTGGCAAAATCCAGTCACTGAATACTTCATGAGATTGACAAGTGTACACAACCATCAGGTTATCGGCATGTAGGAATGTTTCACCTTCAATGAAGCAGTTTACACACACACGCCCACTTTTTATAAATTATAAAAGGCCGAAGAATATCACTCTGTATAACTCCAGTAATTGTGTATTTACGTTCAGACTTCATCAAGTTGATATTCATGATATATGACTACTATCAATCAGTGAGAAATAATTTTAGCCAAATAAGTAAAGGCTCGTAAATATCAGTCGATTGTAGCTTATTAAAGAGTAGATTATGAGACAGACATCTTATCAAATACTTTTGATAAATTGAAGTATAGAAAGTATAAAAGTGAACAAGATAACTGAGTGTATCTTATCGTTTCGTCTTTCATCATCGTCATCATTATACATTCTATAATTATGTGGATTAGTCGTCACCTTTTGTACTCACTTACTCTATATGTCACTTATCAACCATCTAAATAATGAATATAATGAATAAATTAGATACTCTCATTGACTAAAAATATAATTTTTTTTGAAAATAAAAATTACTTAGAGAAACTAATTGACGACTGCGTCCTTTCTCTAAAATATTTTTCTTATCCAAATGTAACAGATCACCAACACGTTTAGCCAATGATATATTTGTACTCACACGGCTAACAATAATTCTATATCAATAAAACAATAAATGAATATTATTAGCATTATATTCACTTTATAGCTTATAATATAATATATTACCAGTGTATTCACAGTTACTTAGCATTCCTGATGCTCTAGGAACTTGACATTGTAATGACACTTTTCATCACCAGGCTTGATAACATTTTCAGTAGCAAATTCACAAAAGACTGTAGCATATTCGAATGTAAACAGCGAAATAAGAAGATGAAGATTTTAAAACAATTTCGACAAAACAATAAGAAGACGTAAATTGTCTGAACTGTGTAATGTATTTGCACAACACATTTCGAACTATTTGATCACACATGTACTTGTCATAGGTATTTATATAAAAGCTCATGAAGATAAGGGGTGAGAAAATGAAAAGGGTGTCAGGTAGGAAGGCTGACTTAAAGACCGAATAACAATGAAAATCAATAGAACGAAAAAATAATAGTACATCGAACTTGGTTTTTTCATAGTTGAATTTACCAGGAAGATTTAATGTGACAACAAATTGTTTATGAACACATAAAGGTGGTTTCAACTTCCTAATAGCTAAGGCTTCAACAAATTTCACGATCCCTCCCCAACATGTTTTGTTAATAGGTGTGAAGGAAGTAGCCACATTAATCTTGTGACTTGTCTCAACGATATGTTTGACGATAGAAGAACTTGGACGTCTGCTATCAACATTTATAGGTTCAGGTGATTTAATTTGCTTCTGAAGCCACTTTGGAATATGTTCCGAGGCCCTTACTTGCATGGATCTATTAGTCCTCCATATGTATCTATATTGAAAACCAAGTTCGATGTATTATTATTTTTTCGCTTTATTGATTTTCACTGTTATTCGGCCTTTAAGTCAGCCTTCCTACCTGACCCCCTTTTCATTTTCTCACCCCCTTATATTCATGAGCTTTTATATAAATACCTATGACAAGTACATATGTGATCAGATAGTTCGAAACGTGTTGTGCAAATACATTACACAGTTCAGACAATTTACGTCTTCTTATTGTTTTGTCGAAGATGAAGTTATCTGAAACATGTGGTGGTTTATTAGCGCTATACATTTCGAACAATCTGATCCCTCACACATTATTATTTTATTTTATTAGTCCCTTGGGTTCCCAGTGAAACATAGGCTTCAGTAGCACGTCTCCATTCTACTCTGTTCTCCGAGATGTTTTGAACCTGGTTCCACGACAGCCTACAAGCTCTCATTTCCTCCTCGCACGACCTCCTCCATGTCACCCTCGGACATCCAACTCATCGCTTTGTCGTCTGGGTGACAGTATCGGAGTAGATTATTGATTCTCCAGTTGACAGTTTGGAGAGTCCACTCCCATTCCATCTGCTTTCGCAAATCCCAAGCACTTCAGTGTGATACCTTCTCATCTCTTTTGCAATCTGGGCTACCTTGCTGGGTTCAAACATCGTACGGACATTCCATGTCCCCACGTTTACTTTCGCTTTCATTGAGAGAAGACACATTGACCGATTGGCTTCCCGAAGGCTTTCACCAACTGGCGTCATTTCGCCTCTCCGATTCCAGCGGGGAATAAGTTTGCTTTTATATTTTATATTTTGTTTATGCTTTGAAGTTTGTTTAGCGGTTAGATTTGTTTTACGCGGTAGGGTTGCTAGCCCTATGCCCAACTTCCCTCTTTACCCGGGCTTAGGACCGGCTAGTAACTAGTGGACTAGTTAACCAGGCGAGGACTTGTAGAATTATTTATGTGAAAATTTATGAAGAAGGTCAATCAAGTTAATAGGAAACATTGGAGGGAATAGGAAGGGAGAGAAAAAGAAGAAAAAACAAACTTTACTCTTGTGTATGAAAGTTAAAATCAATACACCACCAATGTAGGTTCAACATGAGTACAAATTGTTTTTGTATACATAAAGTATGGGGTTTAAATTAACAGATGGCAAGAGCTTGAATCAATATTGAGCACTCGACTTTGACCACTCTTATGTAGTACTTCATAGGCTATTTCCTTTCATGTCAATCCTATGGTTAGTTTCTAGTAAATGTTTAGCGATAGACGAAGATGGATGTTTGTTACCTGCACTTATCGGATCTGTTGAGGTCAATTGGTTTTTGATACCAACCACTTAGGTACATGTTCAACCTTCCGTAACTGCATATCACGATTACTCCTCCCTATATATGTATGTGTCCACACATACATTCAAATTGATAAACACAGTGGGATGTGTGATGTAATCGTTTATATGTTGTTTTTGTTTGTGCTTGGTCTTCTCTACAATGATCACCTTGGCTACATAATACGTTTTACAGATGGCCGATCTAAGTCTTTTCCTCACAAGAAACCTATGTGAATCACCTCTAAATGGTAATGAGATGTAGACATTTATGTTAGCAACGGAACACTGTGTACTTTTCAATGGCACATAACTTTTGCACCTGTCGGTAAATGTCAACAGGTATCCATTCTGTGTCAGTATTGTTGCTGTCAGTAAGTTGGTTTCTTCTTCTCTGGTGTCATTGGTGTAGATATGCTTTATCTTGTTGAATAAGCATCTAAGTAAACCACGTTTATACTGAACTGGGGAATAGCTATGGAAATCAAGATATTACCCTGTCCATGTAGGTTTCTTATAGATCGACCTCCTGATCCAGACATCCTCCCGTCGACTGAGCAATACGTCTAGGGACAGTAGCTGGTTGATAGTGCTTTTATCGATCTCGGGTGTTGTTCAATGGTAAGTTAGAGAAGACATTTTTTTATCACATCCTGACATCTTTGACCTCAATTTTCTTTCAGTCACATACTAGATATTCTTTGTCACAGTGAAATTGTGCTATCTTTCGTCGTCATACTCAGTATCATTTTTGATTTGTCCGGTCAATTTGCTATTGGTCGATGGATAGGTGTTCTCTTTGTAAGTAGATTGTAGATTGGGTCTACATCCACATGTCTGTTGATTTGCATTTCGTTTGAATGTCTTGTTTCTAGGAAATCTCATGCAAATTTTGAACCTGCTCTTTGGAGGAGGACTTCAATAATCTCCTGGTTGAATTTGTGATTGTGGTTATGTGCATGCATTGAAAACAAGGAGGCCGCGTCATCTCACTTTACTGTTACTTGGTGTTCATGAATTCTTTGAGCGATCCAATGGATAGACTGAGCAGCGTTGTGCTGCAAACAGTCTTTGAAATCAGTGTTATTGCTTGTATTATACTGTCGTTGATTGGATTGAATTGACCGGTCTCTATTGGCATATGGATCCTGTGCGGATGCCTCAAGATTGCATGTGTTCTTAATTATGTAGTAATGGTGGAGAGTGGTTGTCAGTGGAATCCAGGATGCACATTTCGTCCTATTTGGGACTCGTCAGCCTTAAATACCTGCCTCCCAGTGAGTGTTGTTCCACCCGGGATTCGAATTCGGGACCGATCGCTTCAAATGTCAGAGCGTTATCCATTAGACCACCAAGCCACGATAGCCACATCTTGTGTGATGGGTATACTTTTAGTGTTATTGTTTGTATTATACCAAATAGGACGAAATACGCATCGTGGATTCCACTGCTACCCAGTATCCATCATTAATGTCTGCAATTGATTATGGCAATGGATTCCCTGGTTTGCACAATATACTGTTTAGTGATTTCGTTGGTTTGTGTTCTGCTTTAATTCCGAAAAGATGAGAAGTAATCGGTTGACAGTTTTCGAGATATATTTGATATAGGGATAGAATAAGGCGTCTAGTGAGTTGAAGCAATGTTCTGTCTTTCCTCCTGCTGAAAAACACTTTGAGATAAAGTTCAATGGATAGTTATTGACTTCTACAGGTGTTTTCCATTGACTTTCTGTAGTGCTTCAGTGTTGCAGTATGTTTTTGGCTCTTGAGAACAGTGCTTGTACACTGGAGTTATTAAAGTCCAGTCATGTGTTCTTCTGATGTGACTATATCTAGGAAGGGAATTACGTTATTAGCTTCATCCTCCTTTTTGAAGTGAATTCCCTCAAATGTTTGGACAACTGTTTCTTCTTGGTACGGGATTTTTCAGCAGTGGGCACCTGTGACCCGCGAGGTATCCCACCCAATTTCCTTTTAACTACTTTCTCTTATTGTTATTGTGTTTCTTATCATTACAAGTGTCTATCTGCCCCACTCATCATTCATTTAGATAACATTTCCCCTAGAATTAGGTAAGCAATTATATCCACTTACATCCAACTATAGTTGTCATTCAAGATAGTATTCATTATGAAGGATGGAGGGTGATTGAAAATCTTAAAGCAATAGACAGTTGTTTCTTCATAAAAAGAGAAATTTATGTGCAGTGAGCAACGATAACCCATAGTCTAATACTTTTCACTTTAACTTCTGGAAATCTGCTCTACAGAATGTTAACTGTGAGCAGTGGACAGTAATTCAGTCCGAAGGTGTAGGGAGGGGGGGGGGAGAAGGGATTGACTAGTTTTGAGATAATATACGATGCGATCTGCGACGAGTTATATACACCAGTACAACACAGTTATTCAGTCCTCTCCAGTCTTCACTATTCCTCTAAATACACTGAGTGATAAGATGTTCACATTGACATGTAGTATAGAATCATCTCTGAATGAATATAGATAATAAAGTTCAGGGAAATGAAGTGAAAACAATAAAATGTCTACATTAACAGTCTGAGTATGGATTGTAAATAGAAAAATTTACTCTAAATGTTTGTTATTCAAATTATATCAACTAGATGATTGATAAAAGTGAACAATTAGTAAAATTCTATTCTATCTATGCTTCTTATGTAGAATAGTTACTTCTGTAACCATTTGAGTATTCTCTTCAAATGATCCATACACAAGACAAGACAAGACAAGACAAGTAGATGAATCATATTGTTAGTTTAAACATTCACTTGTTGATATCAATGAATGAGATACATTCTGTGGGATAATTTCAATAATGAATCTTTAGGGTATAATGTTTGTTAATAAATCGATCAAGCCAGTTGATATTTATCAACATGATATAAAAAATGTATAATCAAGTGTCAAATGAAATAAATAAAAAAAGGAACCTTCAGTAAATAAGTAAGAGTATGTTCAGGATACTTTTCAAAATATACCTGAAAAGTTACTAACTGGCCAGTCCTAAGCCGCTCAGCCAGCCAGCCAGCCAAGTAAAACAATGGAAGATTTGGCTAAAAATCCTACACCATAGAACCAATTGAATCGTTAAAGAAATTTCAATGCACAAGGTGAATGAAAAGTTAACATACAGAATTATTGAATATTCTTAGAGATTTCTTACAAACCTTCCATCAAAATGTTTTTTCATTGCATCAAATATTGCCTTCTGCATCATATCTGTCACTTCATAACCTTTTAAAGCTGGACCAACGAATACAACCGGTCGCATACACGGAACAATCTCATACGGTGGTACTAATTCATTCTAAATAGAAAATTGAAGTATTAATCATTGAAATTATTAAATAGATGAACAATTTTTCATTCTATCATACAAGTGAATTATTGACTGAAGTCTATCAACTTCAATATGCGATCCGTTATCGGTGTAAAATAGTGTGAAGATCTTCTACACTCCAGCATAAAGCATGAACAAGATTAAGTCAGTGCTTCTATGTGATGGTTGAGAAACTTGGTGCGTTATGAAAGGGATTTCCAACAAACTACAGATATTCATCAACAACTGCCACCTACGCTAGCTCGTTACTGAAGCTCAGATGGATTGCCAGAAAGAATAATCAACAAGGAACTTACTGTGGCTGGCTGGCAACGAACCAACCAACAACCTATTACCCAACAAATATGCAGAAGGAAGTGGAGATGGATCGGATTGAGCATACACTGAGAAGGCCGATTGAGGATATCAGGCGCCAAGCCCTCGAATGGAACCCAGATGGGAAACAACGAGTTGGGCTTCCAGCTGAAGATGACATGGAGGAAATGGTGTGAGGGAGAAATGAGAGCTTGTGAGTTTTCTTGGGGCTAGGTTCAAAAGTTTGCAGAGAAGAGAGTGGAATGGAGAAGTGCTACTGAAGCCCTATGTTCCACTAGGAACCCAAGGGACAAACAATAATAATAATACCTCGGTGAAAAATGACTCCAGTTGCCACACTTTGATCAAGATACAAGTGAAAAGTTGCCGAGGACTTTAAGAGAACACCATATTAGAGCAAATTGCGCTGTGTATTTTCCTATTTCCCGCAGTTGAGCAGGTCTTTAACTCCCCAACTAGGTTTTCAATGAATACCATAACATGTTATCTCTGTTACGTAACTGTCATGAACTAGAGAAATATGTGGCTGAACATTCTTTGTAGTAGAAAAATACCCATAACGACCTGCAGGTTGATTGTATACCATCACGTGTTACAAGCAAATTAACACGTTTCAAATAGATTTATATTTATAGCTGTAAACAATCAGCTAAACGGTTTCTAACAATAAGTTAATTGGAGTCCTTAGAGGCCTACGTTTCCAACTGATTGGCAATCGTCAGCAAGGCATATCTGCAACGTCGAGGGAAATGATGTCATCTCTGAAATTTCGACCGGCATCACCCAGTGTTGTAATCAGTGACTTAACCACTGGGCTATTCTCCAATATTCTGTAACCGATTAGCTACACAGATAGGACAACAAAAGGTGTACTGTGTTTATTGTAAGTTATCTGGAATAAATTTCTATAGCTTCATCACACTACTAATAACAAAACCAGAATTAAAATCTGATTGGCACTTATCGTCCTATTAAAATTTGAATCGGTGTACCTCCTATCAAAACGGATGTGTTGTCATCTACTTTACGAGTGATACTGTTATTATCAGCGAATAAATAAACAAACAAAATTGCGAGATAAAAAATACTACGAACCTACATCGATTGGACAATCAGTTAAAGCCTGAGGGAAGTGGAAGGCTGTTCCATCTCAGTATGAGACTCCTCAACAATGTTCACCTGTGACCCCTCTAGGGATCTCTTAACAAGTAACCTACTACTCAGACAATCGGTGGGAATCCAGTGAGTGGTTCATAGGTTTCTAATTCCACTAATTTTCTGTATAACACGACTATCAATCAATTCTATCGGTGAGTATATTGTCCCAATAGGTCGTCGGTTGTCATTATAATCTTGGGAAATCCATCTGGAAGGATGTCACCTAGACAGTATTCCATTTTGAAGCTTTGTGTGGATTGGTTGGTTCTAAGGTAGTGGATTTTTGATCTCGAACGTTAAAAACAGCATTATAATGTTTCATTGACAAAAACATTCAATGAAAAATATAGCACTTAATTAGTCGTAGTTTACTTTTTTGAGAATGCCTTCTTTTTAACTCCAGGTCCAATAGGCTGTGGTTTCTTTGTATTTGTTTGCCCTGACACTTCAGTAGTCTGTGGTCCTTCACGTAGATCATCATCATCATATCCGTCAGTATCTGAAAGAAATTCTTGTCATTATAACACTAAAAAGTGAATGTTATGCAGCATATACTTACTACTAACGGTCAATATGAGTAGTTATGAATCGTAAATATTAATCCAGTGAATCCATTAACCGAAAGTAAACAGTTTGAACATAGTCTAGCTGTTTAACTTCTATTCACCTAAAAATTGAACAGATTCTACAATCGCATGCAATCAGTATCCTTATCTATTAAAAACATCACAACTTGACTGATTACCAAATGGTCTAAAGAAAAACTAGACCTCGTCTGTAGTACAACTGGTAAAGTATATGCTGTCTGACGTAAAACTTATTGGTTCAAATTTCTCCCTTACTCAGATATATTTCCTAGTTCAGACATCCTGTCCGGCGTCGATAACAAAACTTACCGACTAAGACTATCTTAGATGGGTTAAGTAAGCGACTTTATATGAATAAATATCTTTAACTTAAAGCTTTTCTAAGATGAATGGGGATTTTTGCAATTTAGAAGTAGTATTCATCATTCACTGACATCAGTTGGGGGAACCACTGGAAATCTCGGAGCACTGAACATCTGTTTCGTCCAAGTATAAGACTCCTCAGCTGAATGGTTAACGCGTTCCCCGTGAAACCTGAAGGTATTGAGTGTTCTGAACAGTGCGACACTTCGAGACGAACCACTCTAGGCCCACTAGTCATGTAATCGGCCACAAACAAGCAAAACTTACATCCGGTGTTTAGATCACATTGATCTGGCTAGAGAGCATTGTTGATCTGTATGAGTGACTTAGGACTATTCATTTTACGTGCAGCCTCGCGCTTGTAATCTTGACATATATATATGGTGTCTAGCAGTCACAATATTTTGGTTTCCATTGGAAACCACAGTGAGATTTAGCTTTGATGTTATGGCTTATAAATCTACACCGTTGATTAGACCGAAATGATGGACCAATATCTTGATCAAGTGGCCTACTAGAAGACCATCTAGCGTTTCGAGCAACTGGTGCTTGGTTCGAGTATCAGAGGAAAAAACATCAACCACTGGCAATCGTGCAAATCCATATGACGAGTCTCAAGTAGGGCAAAACACGCCCCTGTATTCCAGTGTTAACCATTATCTATCAATAATATCGTGATAGGATTTTCACATAGAGTGCATTTTTCTGCAAATACCTCATTTTATCTTATTTTTATCCATTTATCAGTTTAACATGCAACTTGTGCTGGTTTTATTCCCCAAAGAAGAGGCTTTTATGAGGTTGCAAAAGGTCAGAAATTTGTTTGTTTTTCTACCCCATTGGGTTATACTTTGTGAAGGTTAGTAGAGCACAAATTTCTAGATGATTTCTAATAAGCGTTATGAATAAATACCAACTATTACCAAGCTTAAGTCTACAGGTTCCTGCCAACTAACACCTACCATATAATTAAGCTAGACGTCTCAAAAATCATAGTAGGAATAACTCAACATCTGGAGTCAGCCGTCTTATAGTAATCAGTCATGAAAACGAATCAAATTCAAACTTTTCAATGGCGTTGTAAACACGTTTAACTGATTAATATTCAAGTAGTGGAGAATATTTGTAGTTCAGATGGACGGTCTTGGTTGTCCCGTATTCTCTGAGTTCGATTATTTAATCGTGAAGCTTTCATCGCCTTTCTTCTAGACGACATCATCCACAGCACTAACTTCAGTATGAAGTGACCTGTCAATATGTCTCCGCGACTGATTTAATGTCTTGCTCTGACGATGTGGTCTATGATTGGTTGTTTCCTTCGACTGTTGTCTCATTGACTGACTGCATAGATTTTCCTGTTAGCTGTTCCTCTACCTGACCTGGCCTCTCACCTTCCTGTCATTTATCATCTTTCTATTAGTCGACAGATTGGGTCTATGTCTATACATCTGTTGATTGCCAACTAGCTGACTGACTGACTGACCTGAATGTCAAACTTCTAGGAATTCTCTCATATTCTTTGTGTTTCCTCTCTCCATCCAACATTTCTACATTGTCAAAATTGAATTCATGTCCAAAGTTGTTACTCACATGTATTGAAATGAGTGATGAAATGTCGTGTGTGACGTTTGATAGTCAATTGGTGTTCATGTAGACGAAGGCGAAGAGGCCGACCACTTTGTCCAATTTAGTGTTGACTACAGTTATTCCAGTTCATTTTGTAAATGATATTCGGTTTGTCTTCCTTGCTTGCTGCTTCCTTTGGTCTGCATAATAGTGTTTGGAGGGAATTTGTTCGTTAATGAGCCACACCAATTCCACCAAGTGGTCTCAGTAATCTTGTCGTGATTTCTGATATATTTCTTTATGCATTATGGTAGATGATGCGTTTTGTTTATTTCTGTCGATGACTTTATAGTGCTGTGGATGATGTCGCTGTCTAGCAAGACGATGAAAGCTTCACGATTAAACAACTCAGCTTACTCAGAGAACACAATACAACCATGACTATTATTCAAGATGACTGAAATCTTTTCAAGCACCTACCTACATAGAACTTGAAGTGAATTCATAAAATTAGGATTATAAGAAGTCGTGCAGCCAGATTGAGGAGACTGCAGAGAAGAGAGTGAAATGGTGACATGCTACTGAAGCCGTATGCTCCACTTGGAACCCAGGGGATAAATAATAAATAATAAAGATAATTTAGATGTTCACCTGTCTTTATAATAAGTTATCCACTATTCATCTTCAGTCTACATAACTCATTCAATATGATTTAGTACATATTCTTACTATTCATATATCAGTTAGTGTTATGTTTTTTATTATCATAAATGAATAACAAATGAGCATTTTTATGAGTACATTCGAACTAACCTTTCCAATTCTTATGTCCTGGAGGTGATTCAGATTGTCGTTGCCGATTACCACCCAAAATTGGTCCACGATGGTCTACACTGATGATATTGAAAATAGTTCAATGTAAAAAAAAAAATAGTTAATAAGGTAATACATCATGAAAGAATGTTCTTCAGCTTCTCTGAAATTCCATACTATTGTATTCTCTCAGCTGAATGTTTATCCCAAAAGCTTTCATTGTCACTCTTCATGAATAGCTTAGTAGCTTGCTATGAGGATGTTGGGCATGAGTGGTTATTTCTGCTAAAATCTTATCACCCTTTCCATATGTATTTCAGTTGTTTCTCCTACTCACACGAACTATGACCTTCTTGTTGTTTCGTGACGAGCTTTTAAAGATTCTCTGGCAGTCAAGTATCATCACATATCTTCGCTCATATCAATACATATAAACAATTGTGGATATGAATCGTGGTGGAAGGATTTGGAAATCCTGGATACAGGATTTCTAGAAGTTTGGCATTCAAGTCAGTCACCGATCAACAGACATACTGACTTTGATTCAATCTATCAACTAATAATCATCAGATGAAACAACAAGAAGATCAGAGTTCACATCAGTAACACTGCCAATCAAGAAGATACGTGTGCAGACTAATGACGAAATTATAACAGGAACCACTAATCATATTCAACGTCATCAGGACAAGCTACTAAGCCATTTGTGAAGAAATACTTATAGACCACTCCTTTCTGAAGCTTATACTGTTGCTGATGTTGTCTAGAATGACAATGAAAGCTCCGATTAAAGCATTCCGATAAGAGAATGCAACGAAATCATCTTGCTGACCTACAAATATTTCCCAATTATCTCAAAATCCTACGAACGTCAGACGCTTTTCTGAATTCATAGAGGCAGTTGGAATCATTCATGCACATTATTATATCTAGATATATGAGAAAAGGTGAGTATTGATACTTGAATTTGTGACAGTAAGTTTGTAGGTCATTTTCAAGGTCATCGGAGCGATAGTTTCATTGTATACTGAATAACTAGTGTGCTACCCGCCTTCATTTTTCAATATGGCCGAAATAACTATCAACGAAAACCAGGTAACCAGAGTTATTTGAGACGAAGAAGAAAGTTTTCTCATCTCATCTCATGGAACTATCTCAGATATGGAATATTTCCCTTAAAAGTGCATAATCAGATTTTTACATAGTGGATGAAAAGAACAGGCTTTCTAGGAAATCAGTATGCAGGATAGTATGTCATTCAAGAGGCGAATCATACACTAACTACCAAATCCTCATGTGACCAATGCATAAAAATGACCTACTTTTGTTGCTTTCTAGAAATTTTTCCTGCAGCTTTACTGAATATGAATATGAATATGCCGATTGTATGATGTTTGTGAAGATGAAGTTGTGTCCCCACATCTTAT